AGTTTCTGAAGATCGCAAAATAGTTTCTGAAGATCGCGAAATAGTTTCTGAAGATCGCAAAATAGTTCCTGAAGATCACCAAATAGTTTCTGAAGATTGCGAAATAGTTTCTGAAGATCGCGCAATAGTTTGTGAAGATCGCAAAATAGTTTCCGAAGATCGCAAAATAGTTTCTGAAGAATAATTTCTGAAGAGTAGTTGCGGAAGAGTACCAAATAGTTGCGGAAGAAAAGCTTCAGAAGAATGGAGAGTTAGGACTTTGTTCGGGTCTCGAAAATGCCTGTTGATTGATTTTTTTGGCTTGGCACCTGCAGAGGCAAAGGCTCTAGGTATAATGCTGCTGTGGCACGATTGATCCACTCGACAATGGCTCCAGTTATGTGTGGGACAACCTGCACTGTCTTGCCCAAATACTTTCCTTCTCGCTCCTGAAAGTGAGAAGCCACCAGCACATCGGATTTATCGAGGCTTTAGAATCACTTCATACACGCGTAATTCGTAATAATTACAACTTCCAGCACGACTGTCGTAGTGTCCTTCTTGATGACGGACTCGTAGATTTTGCCAGTTGTCAGATTGTTGTCCCTACGCAAAGCCGGAGGTTCACTGATCTGGGACTTGTCTGCAAGCGCAATAGTGTGGTTATGCATATTTATATATGCCACATGTCAAAGGGGCCACAACCTGTTCGTTGATAGTGATGAAGGAAGGACAAAGGCAGCTGTGCTCCGTGCAAGCTTCGTGGCGTTTGTTAGGAATATTTCCTGCTGCTTTAAACCATGTTTATATAAGTATAAAAACACCAAAGCATTCAAGTGGTCCACCCCTGAATCTTGTGTGAGGTGCGCCAGACAGCCTGACTGTGTTTGCTTTTTCATTTACACTTTAACCGACATAGAGACATACACGGCACCAGTTTTGCCTTCCCAACGAAAGATACATCATCCGCTCGTAGTTGCCAAGGTCCAGGTCTGTCTCCCCGCCATCGTCCAACCTGAGCTGATAAGAAAAGAACATATACTGTTTCTCCATTATGTTTTTGTGCTCTTCCTGAATCTCCAAAATTGTTTTATAACATATGCCACGTATGCCATTGATTCGTCTACCCCCTCAAGCACAAGCCAAGTTGCACATAAACCTGCCAATCGGCGCTGCAAAAACAACTGAATCTTTAATTAATAATATATGAACTGGCAACCCTGCTTGGATAAACTGCGGTTTGGGTCGTGCCTCGCCATGTTCATACCTTGGGTAAGGAAAGCATTGCAGAACGCTAAACGGTCAAATGATAAGAATCCAATACACCAAACTCTTTGGCTGATCCGCTTTAATCTGATGATTGTGATGCATCAGTAGCCCAAAAAACGCTTAGTCCAACCAACTCTACAAAGGGAGGTGGTTTATACATTTCTAGGAATGTTTGGAGGTCTCCGGGGCACAGTGTTTACGAGACGGGGATGTCAACACAATGAACATTATGAACATTGACGTCGGTTTTAGCGTTGCGGAATGTTTCAGGGTGGCAGAAGTGAGCACTCCAGCGTGGCAGTGGTGAATGTTTCAGGGTGGCAGTAGTCAAGTTTCAGTGTGGCAGAACTCAGCTGCATAGAGAAGTAGCCTGGACATTCACCCCACAGAAAAACATGGTAGAGCGACCCCTCAAGTTTATACACATTTCACCCCCTTCAATGTTTTGGGGGGCGCATGTCTAGGATCATCAAGATCCCAAGCCGGTGGGCACACTCCGATCGATGCAAAAATAATATGGTTCCTGCACATTGTATGGACATAAAGGGAGGCAGGGTCAACAAAAGCCAAAGAAAATGTATGAAACACAAGGGGGAGAACTGGGCGAAGCCAAAAGTATGAAGATGATGGGGCAAAATGCCACGATGACACAACCATGACACAAAATCAATCAAAATTACGAAGATTCTAGGGGGATTCATATTCTTGTGGGGGGAGCTGGGGTTTTGATTTTTTGTGGCTTCTTTTGACTGGATTGGCGCACACACCCCTACCCAGGAAGGCGACCCCATGGCACTGTGCGAAAGCCAGGGGGGAACCACCCCCAAGAACATGTATGCCAGCAACGGGCTAGAGACCACTTTATCAAAACAATGTCTATATAGTCGTGTTATCAGCCAAGCTTCTGGCAAGAACACATGCGGCCCTAACTTCACACGAGCCTCCCCCAGGAAACTCCAGCAACCCTAACGCAAATTATTGTATGAAGCCATCCACTTGTCTCCTTGCAGATGCAATCGCCATTTTGTTTGCCGCTGCCTTGTCTCCCCACTTGGCATCCTCCTTGGCCAAGTTCTCGAAGCAGCAGGACCCCAAGCAATCAACTGGCCGCTACAGCAAAAGGAAGTGAAAGGTGCTCTTCAAACACTCCGCCTGGTGAACCCAAACAATCGGTGCTTTGCTCATGCTACTCTCGTGGTGTTGCAGGTGGAGTGATCTTGGAAGGGCAGCTGAGATCCTCACGGAACTTTGCTGCAATGAATCCTCATGGGTGGACCTGAGGAATGTGTTGCAACCATGCTTGCCTCCCGGGGTGATGGTAGGCAGCACGATGCACATGAATTTCAAAAGGCTGTTTTTGCAACTACAGCATCTCCTGTCTTGACCGGCATTTGGATCCGGAAGATGCAATATGAGGACGCTGTAAAGACCATGGATAGGGGCACTGTGAAGGGCTCCAATCCGCCGCTCTGCGGATTGGATTTGTGTCTGGCTTTTGAGGCGCACCAAATCACAAACAGTGACTCCCACTTTCTATGTTCAAGGTCATGATGCAAAGGTGCACAAGCTTGTTGACATGCTGACACGCCGCACCGCTGATTTGACCTGGAACTTGACACTGAGCTGGTGAAACATTTCAGTTTCAATAGTAGTGCTCTCTGAGACCTCTTTGAATGACCGCGCCCTGGCCAAACATGTGATTTTTAAGCATCGCATCCTGGGTATAGGTGGATCTTGAGAAACACCTTCGAATGGGCTGGATAGGAATTGATCACCAAATGACGGACACCCCTTGTTTGTTTTGCGGTGCAGTCCCAATGCATTTTGTGGCACCAGGACGAGTTCCAACCCATTGTTGCGCCTCGGTCATGAATTTGGCCAAGGCATTTCATGCTTGGGAGTTGAGGGCGGACGGGCACAGTCATGCGCAATCTATGGCATCTCCCGTGGAAGGGAACTTGCTGCTGACGCTATGATGGCCAGTGCGGATGGCGCTGAAGATTGGATTTTGTGATTGACGACTGAGTTGACACTTTTGCAGATCTGAACAGATCAAATCATGTCCAAGAAACCGTGGCGCGCGGCGTGAGGCAGTTCTCCGTGACTTTATCACGATCGCCCCATAACTCCGTGAACCTCGCCGGAGATGATGACAAAACCAAAAGCAAAAAATGTTTTGTGTGCAGCTGCTGCCTTGTCTCCCCACTTGTCTCCTTACATGTCTCCTCTCTGATCTGCCTGTGTGATCGATCGGCGCTTTGTCTGCTGCCGCTGCCTTGTGTCCCCACTTGTCTCCTTGCACCTCTCCTGGTCTCAAAGATCAAAAAGAACTGTTGGTAATTATCACCTATGCCGAGGAGTGCTGGACGGTCAGGTGTATGGTCGGTCGTGGGTCCCCAGTCACTCAAGCGATTTTGAGCCCAAGACTTCACGCAATCCAGTCTTACTTCTCAATGACTGGGTGGTTGATCGGCGTTTTGGTCCACCGCTGCCGCTGCTGCCTTGCCTCCGACTTGTCTCCTTACATGTCTCCCCACTTGGTTGTGGGTCGGATTCTTTGGCTTGATGCTTTGTCAAGAACTGATTTGATTTGATTTGACTTGATTGCGCGATCATTGCCCATAGTGGCAAAGGCCTGAGGATGCACCTCCGTGAGAAGAATGTCTCATGTGGCCCCATAGCTCTAACCGTTAGAGACGAATGAAAGGTGAACAATGACAAAAAAAAGGTTCGTTGCCTGTGTGATCTACCTTTTGTCCGCCGCTGTTGCCTTGTCTCCTTACTTGTCTCTCCACTTCTCTGCTTGATTTTTGTCTCAGGTGCTTTTGAAGTCTTTAGTTAGTTGCTATCTAGGGTCTATGCCGATGCCGATGTAACTCTTTGAATCACGGCATATAATTGCAATTCCCAGGAACTCTAACATAATCTCAGGAAGCTCGATTTCCCGTATGAAGCAAGGGAGGGGAAATTGCCCTCAGGAAGCATACCTTATATCAAGGATGAGAGGGGCGGGGGGACATCCATAATCATCATATCATCGGCCAAGCCAAAACAGACTGTCTAAAATCATTTCCTGGGAGTGAAGATCCGGAGACGAGGATTGCGTATATATTTCTTCAATTTCTTACTTGAAGTACTAGTACTCCCGCCAAAATATGCAGGGTGATGTCAAGAATATTGGATAGACACATGCAGTCAAATGTCGGGCTCATCAATCCAGCATCTATGTTGATGTACGGATCCAACTTGATTGCTGTGACCTTGATTTGCAACAAATCATCTGAATTGCCAATGCTTCGTCACATAAACCAGTTCCTAGCCATAGACGACTGCTCTTGTGCCGCTTCTCGAGTAAGCGCAGCTCTCGAAAGCCATGTCCCCGCAAGAGAGCACCAATCGAAGAGGTTGCCACACCCTGTCGCTGCTGCAAACAGGTTGCACCAGGTCACTACATCCATGCTACTATCCATGCTTTAAAAGCAATTCGCACTGGCCTTGCCCAGCGAACTGCACACCCCGCCAGAAACAACAATGTATTTCACGCCCTGGCAAATTCATCCAGTTCTCAACTCGATGCCGCCGCGTCGATGCCTTTGCAGCTAGTACAATTGTACTTAAATACAACTCAAATTAATATAAGTGCCTTCTCGACTTGGGGTCGAAATGCTGCACTTGCTGGAGACGGAGGCGGAATCGCATGTCTGGTCAGCTCATCAAATTCGTCCTTAGCTTTCCAAGCAAAAGCAAACCCCGTTGATCAAATTGGACCAAGCACCATGCATGAGTTGCAAGTTGCAAGTATTGAGCAGGCCGAGATTCTGCAGGCGCTGGTGAAGGTGGGGGGAACTGAAAGTAGTCGGAGGCCGTGGAATCCGTCTTCCTCACACACGAGAACCAAGCACAAGAAGAATAAGTTTCACATCGGTGAATTCGGCCCACCAAATCTGCCCCAATCTCCTCAGCTTGGTCAATCTTTGCATCTCTGGTTCATCCCGAGGTCTTCTTGATTCTGTCCTAGGCGGGGCACCAGAAAGAGTTGGTCTCCGAAATACGAAGAATGCAGAATACCTAATAAGATAACTCAATATGATCATGACCATGGATGCAAACCGCATCACTCTGAGGCAAGTGCTCAAACATCTTAAATTTTGATGCCGTTGGCCCGCTTTGAGGATTCTCTGCTTGCAACTATGGCTGCGGAACAAGACAATGCAACATCACATCAAAAATGTTGCAAACAAGAAACACAGCACAATCAATTAGTAACAAGATCTCTCTCTTTCCAAACACCAACTGGCAATGACAGTACAAGAGCATGTCTTTCCAGTCTTAATGAACCGTACACAACAACACACCACAGGCCACCATACCAACAGTTGAGGACTGAGCTCAAATGAATTGCAGCAATGCTATGCAGGGCTTGGGCCTCAGCCAGCGCCACCAAGCGGACCAAGCAATTGAGGTCACTCATGGTGAAAAAACTTTTTTTTGGCTCTTAGGTCGCCATCGCTACCGGGTGTCTTCGAAGTCTTCGAGTCTCTGAACCGCCGCTTCTGGTGTAAACTAGGCAACTTCTGGTGTTCAGAGACGTGGTCCACTTCTTTCCACCTGTCGTTGTTGTCTTTGTTCTTGTCACCCGCGTATCCGCCAAGCACAAACGACTGAGGTTCACTGGCATTATTTCATTCCAGCATACAGCGGCATACAGCTTTACTATGTTTTACTTTTGAAGAAATGAATCTGGGAACCAAGTGAATAGCGTGAGCCTGAGCCATCCTGTGTCCCAGCTAGTAGCAGGCTACCTAGTTTGTTTAGGCCTGACTTGATTAAGTAGTCACCTAGACTAAAACAAGATGGAACCCACGAACCCGAACGCAAACACGTGTGTCAATCCACTGGAGCATAGAAAGAGACACAGCCGGTCAAATTCCTTTTTCTTCACGCTCCGGCACGGTGCTGGATATCAGCTGGGGACTTCACCACCAAGTTCCGCTGCAGTCATGAAGGGTCTTCGTTTTGCATTCAAATCAAGCACTGGCGTAAAGGTTGTGGCAGATCCACATCACGAAAGAAACAATGGCATTGTCCCAAAATCACACGAGACTTCCTCCAAAAGTCACACGTCAAGTCTCCAAAACGAGCGTTTCGTACGAGACTTCCTCCAAAAGTCACATGTCAAGTCCCCAAAACGAACGTTTCGTACGAGGCTTCCTCCAAAAGTCAAGCGGAAACACACATCGGAGCACACACGTCACGCAGCCCCGCCAAGCAGTTTCGCGATTCCAGTCCCTCCAAACAACACCCGCTCACACGCCAATCCCAATGTGACAGCGACATTCACCTCTACCACAACTCACAACCTCACGATTCCCTGCGCCTGCCACGAATCTTTCCGCGTCCACACGTCTGACGCGCACAAAGTACTGCTCCTGCCACGAAATGTCGCCTCCGTCACACCTCGCAACCTCACGACTCCCTGCGCCTGCCACGAAAATCGCACTTCCATACCTCAAAGCCCGCACAAAGTACTGCGCCTGCCACGAAAAGTGACCATATCATGTCATGTGAGCTTCAACAAAATTTACACCACACCACACGTTTGGAATGACTTCAACCCGTTCTGAGCACACTCCCATCCACCAAAATCGCCATTTCAGCTGAGACTTGTCACGAAAAGAGAGCTTCGGTGCCACACCCTGAAACGCAAATCCCAATGGCACGGCCACATCCAACACCCCAAAAACACGACTCTCCACACGCTAATCCCAATGGAGCTGCGCAGAAAACTGCAGATCTCACAAAACGCTGCGCCTGCGCAGTGAAATCATCCTCCACACTTCAACATCTTACATTTCCACACGATTCCTCGCTATTTCACACGAATCTGACACGTCACGTTTTCATCCGAAACCCTCTCCAAAAGCTTCCCCCAATGGCAGCGCCTTAGCGCTCTACTGCGAACGGTTGCGGACGGTTGCGAAGATAGAAACAATGGGTCGCGAACAAGGCTCTACCCCCAGACCCCCAGAGTTAAACGAGAACCCTTCGCTACGCATTCGGGAAAAACACTCGAATCCTCAAAGCTCGGCTCTCCACTGCGCCCTTCTTATCTCTCGCCTTCCAAATTCGCCCATCGAGAGCGTCCGCAGCTGTCAGCCAAATACAAATAGCAACGGCCTCCAACCTAATAGCCAGCTACCAAGCTTATGTCCCACCTTCTCCCTCACCAAGCGCTCTTTTCGTGCTGCCTTAGATTTGTGAATCAAATGACTCCACACTGTGCCGCTGTGCCATGGTGCTTAGTTGGCCCTTTCACTTCCAGGCATCAGGCATCCAAGGCCAAGTCGAGGTCTCCTGTTTCCTGACAAAGGGAACAACTTGCAGACTTCTTCCCTGGTCATCATTCTTTCTTTCAGATTCTCTTTCAGCTAGTGCTAGTCAGATGAATCCCATGAAGATCGATAGGAAGCTCGACATAACAAGGCCAATGGCCTCAATGTGCACCTTTTCCAGCACCAAAGAAAGGTACGACGACTGTCCCGTGACAATCTTTGAAGCTGGGTCTGTTGCAAAGATGCAACCGTGTCACGGCAAATCACCCGTGTTATTTGCCAAACTTCTGTACAGGAGTCACATAAGCAAAGATGTGATGTAACCAAAAAGTCCCGTCCGTTTCAAGACTATTCCCCTGCATTCAATTGAGGCAGCCTATGGCATTATGGGTCCTGGTGCAGCCAGCACATGGGTCTGGCACCAGGCACCCTTATCTGCCGGCTTCTGAACGCAGGCTAGTCTATGGAGGCAAGGCTGCACAACTTGACATCGCTGCTTGGCAGCACATCGTGTAGACACGCTTCAGTTCTTGTCTCTGCACGTGAAGCAGCCGAATAAAGTACCTAGGTCATGGTACACCTACAGATTAAACATGGCTCTTGAAACCAATCACCACAAGCCGAGTGAAGGACCAAGATCAAACCAGTCATCAACGGCCTGTCAACGGTTGAGCACCGCAATGGATTGAGAAGGAGTGGTCTCTTGGCCCTCTGGAAATACGACAACTTGAAGTCACAGCAATGCGGGCCGAGGTGCTGTCACAATCTCCCGCTCGGGTTTCTTGGCCTAATTCATTCGACAGGTTTAAAGGAATTTTGAAAGCATTTAGTTTGCTGTCTGACAAGCACGTCTCAGCCCGCCTCCGCCTGTTGTTGGATCTGAATCGCCACCTCAGTCCAAACGTCTGTCACTCTGAGCTGTCGCGTATATCACTCATAGCTGTCACCAGGAAGTCCAATCCTTGCTCAGGCTGACTCCTTTTCGGACTCCCACATTATGATTTGTGGTTGCGTGACCTGTGAGGCAAGCCGCTTGCTGCTCTCTGTTTCCGATAGCTGATATTTTACACATGTTTTCGCTTGAGTTCACGTTGCGCTTCGAATGAAGAATGGGTGTTCGGCGAAATCTTCCACCTCAAGAGGGCACTCTAGTTCATCAGGCTCATCAACAGGCGTTGGTCGATCCTCCTGGAATCGCAAAGGTCTGCCAAATTGCAAAGGCCAACACGGCTAGGTTTGTTGGTCATTGGTCCGGTATTGTCCGGTAAAACAGCCAGATTTTCATCCCTTTGCCCAATTCTGTCAGTTTCTTGCCGGTCTGCCAGCACTCCTTGTTGGCCTTCCAAAGGTCCAGTGTCGCTAAGTGGGCCTAAAGATCAGAGCCACAAAGCGGGAACATTGTTGAGACTTATACAGACTTTAAGTAGTTCAACGGTGCGTAGCATGTCAACGAATCTCAAATCTCCACGCCTCCTGAGCTCTCAAACTCGCAAGTGTAGGAGCTAGGTACTCATGTTCACTGGGCCTGGCAGAATTGAGGAGAGCCATGGGTCCATGGGTCATGCCATGAAGGAACCTGGGCATGTCAATCTGTTCCTCTTTCGCCGTACCTTTACGTCTTGAATATAAAACCTACAACATCTACAACCTGATAAGGGGGAAACGAAAGCCATGAGGAGCAGGTGACATTTTGGCGCATTCTCTGGTTCTGATACCGATTCTCTTTCCCTTCAAAACCTGGCGTTTCCGGCCCCGGTGCTCTAAATGGACTTCGCGGGGTCTGTTTCCATTCCCGATATCAATTCGTGGGTTTGGATGCCGTCGGAGATGACAACGGACAAAGTCCTCCCACCCCTTCAAAACGTCACACTTCGGGTCCAAAGGCTGTTCACTTATGATGGACTCTATCATGCTTTGCCAGCAGGGATAAGCCGTGTCCGTGACGGCATCGCTGAGATGAAGCAGCCAACATCACTCAGCACTTCATGGAGCCGAGGCATGTGCTAGACACGACCTATTACACATGTGTAACCAAAAGTGTGCCTTTTGACTCAAGAGTGTTGAAGATGCTAGTGATGCAATACCTCAGCATCTTGTGCATCACTGTCCAAGCAAAAATCACCTTCGTGGAACAGTAAGTGAAAACACCAGTAGGCTAATATTCTGCCCAACCCTAAAGACTCACCTCGCTCACTTTTGAGTAGGACTCCTACCGATTCAAAAAACATGCTGTTCCCGCTTAATACTTCCCCAATTCTTGCCTTTCAAAGAAACATGTCTGTTCGGCTTATCCTCCGGAGAGGCAAGTGAAAGTGCTGCAGCCCTGGCCTCGCAGTAGAAACACTTCACAGGGCACAGTCCCTCCCCTTAAGTTCATCGAAGGCACAGCAAGGGAAGTTGGAGAAGCTGATCCATCATAGTTCTCCCTCATTGTCAAGAAGCACCAAGCACTTTTGCAAAGCGAGTGATACTGATACAGGCTAATTACTTACCAAGTAGATCCTCATCTTGAAATGTTGTAAAGCTGCGCGGCTACTGCTACAACCCTCTGTCTGAAGATTTAGCCCCGCAAGCGATTTCAGCAAGCAAGTAGTAGAAAGGTGTGACAGAGAAAAAGGTGTGGAACTATCGCAGTCGCAGCTGTTGCTTCTGTGATTCAAGAGTCACTTCCTTTTTCGGTTGGAAGAGTTGTGGCATTAAGGCCATGATCACACGTCAAACCAAACCCACTGTGGAAAGCCAAGCGCCACGACGGGTTCGACCACACCAAACCGGTGTTGACTCTTGGCTCAAGAAAACAGGTCCGACGCACAGGACATCATAACCACAGGTTATGAGCCCAAGCGGCTGTGCCATTTGAGGCACTTCTTTTTCCAAGTCCACCTCCGACTGTTTCGTGGACAGCGGAGTGGTTGGTCCCCATGGAGCAGCGGCGCCGACGGATGAGGTCACGCGATGGTCGTGAGCAACAAGACGATCATCAACCTGATCAACGACCTATAGCCGGCCTGGAGACCAGGAAGGAGAGCTTGAGATTGGGGTGGCTGATAGAAGATTGAATCAGCTACTGGCGGAACATCGAAAGTGACAGAGGGCTTCTTCGGCACCAACTGCGGGGGACCCAGGAGTTCGAAGAGTACGTATTGATCAACAAGGAGATGGCCAAGGACGTCAACTTCCAGCGTCCGGTGCAGACTGGGCCTGGAGGGCCGCCTGTCGTCACCTTTGGGGGCAGTGGGATGGCTGGGGGACTGTTTGAGGCGCTACAAGATCCTCGAGCTGGACAATTAGGACTGGGCCAACTTCAGGACACGGTGCGATATGGCCTCGAAGCCTTACAAGTTGCTCTTCGTGGTGGTCAGAGGGCTCCGGGACTACTTGATCCGCTTCTTCGACCACACGATCATGAAATTCCTGCCGGGCATCCTCCTGCAGACCGGCAAGGGCAAGGGATGGTGACGTTGCCCCACCCCATGGCGCCATGGGCATGGGCCCACAGAGTGTGAGGACTGCTGTCTACACGCCAGAGGCCGGAGGTGCGGGGTTCGTCGGTGAGGTGCATCCGGGAGTGTTGGATCCGTATGCTTCCCCGGAGCAGAAGTGAATCCCTGCGCGCCAGTGAAGCAGATGGCTGGAGATGGAAGTGCTCATCGTGTTCCCACGGTCCGGCGGCTCAAGGAAGCGGAGGTCAACTTCAATTGCGAAGGAGATCAGGCGGCTGACGGAAGATGCATCGTCCTATGCTTCTGCAGCGAGTGCTGCGGTGGCCGAGCACGCAAAGAAAGAGAAGGAGGCGGGAGTGCATCTAGGCGACCCTGGTGGGGGCCTTGGGGCATCGAGCGGTGGCGGCGGACCGGAACGTTGTCCTGGACTTCAAGCGGATCGCCCAACCTCGGAGCCGGCGGGGCTAACCATTCCAGAGGCCGTTAGGTCTTTGGAGTTTCCTGCATTGCCAAGTGCCAGTTGTGGGGACGCTTCAATTCAGTTGGGAGATTGGTTGACTGTAGCACGTCCGTTGATGTCAGATTTGAGCAGTAGCGCGCAGCAGTGGTGGGATCTAGCGGTGGCAGAAGCTGAGGTGCTGTATGAGAAGTGGTTGAGTGCATCACCCCTCATGAGGCTCCGCATTAAGTCTGAGCTGCCCATACCTGAGAGTTCAAGCGGGTTGAACAGCGAGTGCGCATTCTTGGTTGTAGACTTCTTGACTAAGCCTATTGGAGCGGCGGCTCGATGGCAGCAGAGCTTAGGGTCCAAAGTGGCCAGGATTGCAGGTGTGGTAGGAGGGTTGGCGGGTGTGTTGACCTGGCGGCCGTCGGGTCCCACCAGTAGAGCGGCGCAGGGTTTAGCTGTAGCGGCCATGGTAGCTAGTTTGGCGACCAGCTGGAAAGCTAGCGGCGATTTGAAGAGGAGAGCCACTGGGCCATCAAGATCAGGTGAGGGAAAATGAACCCACCCTGTTTTCGAACCTAGCCCTGAGGGGTGCCGGGATTTCGCGGTAGATGTGCGCCATGGTGGGGTACACCTTCTTCAGGGGAGATCCAGCCGGCAACTGCGTCCGGGACACTTGGTTCCACTTCGAGCTATTTGACTACGAAGGGACAAGGGGATAGGACCTCCTAGTCAATGAGCAGCTCGCTGACATGTGGACCGCCGCCAATGCCGGGCATTGCGGAGCAGCCGGGTGGGGAGCTGCCGAGAGAAGAGCCACTGGTGGAGGAATCCACAGCCGACTGCGAGCGAACGGGAGAAGTCCTACGTGAGGTGCGCTAATGTTGGATCTCGATTAGTAAAGGGTCCCTCTATAATGCGAAATTGTCCAAATTTATTTAGACCCCCCTGTTTGAAAAATGGGTCCTGAATAATGCTAGCTTTTTTTTGGACCCTAAATTTTTAAATTGGAAACCTAATCAGTAAGGGTTTGAATTCCTTCTGAGGCCAATGATTATGATTCATTAGCTGATATAGCTTTCTCTAGGTTTCTTCAAAACTGACAGCTGACCAAAACCACCAATTCCCCAATTAAACCCTTTGTAAAACATAGCTCCTAAACAAATTTTCAAGGTAGTAGACCAGGAAGGCACCTGATCCTCAACAATAAATTTGTTTTTGGGTCCTCAATTGTGAAAAGTTTTTTTTTTTCACTGGAAAAATGCGCATGGAATCTCCCCTTTACTTAGCTCCTGAGGCCAATGATTATGATTCATAAGCTGATATAGCTTTCTCTAGGTTTTCTCAAAACTGACAGCTGACCAAAACCAACAATTCCCCAATTAAACCCTCTATAAAACATTGCTCCTAAACAAATTTTCAAGGTAGTAGACCAGGAAGGCACCTGATCCTCAATAATAAATTGCTCATGGAATCTTCCTTTACTTAGGAAGCCATGGAAGCTGAGGAAGAAGCTGAAAGCTTGGGGCTTCTCTTGAGCTGAAGATCTGAGGCTGCAAAGCAAAAGGATTGCTGAGAACAATTACAAAAGGAAGCTGAATACAATCTATGAAAGGAAAATGAATACTACAATCAATTACAAGAAGGAATTCTCACAGGAATCCAGATTTGTTTTGGTGATAGTTTATTATAGAGGACTCCCTGTTTGTTTGAGGGGAGGGGGGGGCCCTTTACTAATCAGGATCAAACATTATGTGAGACGAGGCACTATACTACGGAATCCATTGAAAGCTCATCGAGTAGAGGCTCAACAGCTCTTGCACGAGGACGGGATGCACTGGATCGGAATGTGCCCATGGGCTTTGAGGATCGACTACGAGGCCAACGAGAACGGGGTGAACTCAGGGACTCTTTGAAGGAAAGCCGAACAGGGAGCTCTGGATATCTTGGTGATGATCAGGGCGCTGACCCTTCCACCTACTGGTCTCAAGGATCACGAGGTCACGATGGTATGACTTTCAGTGATGAGGAGCGAGAAGACTGGCGCATTTCTTTGGAGGACATGGCTGGAGAGGCAGAGAGGGCTGACTGGCGGCGGTCGCTAGACGACATGGTGAGATGGGAGCTATGAGGCGGTGAACGCCTGAGAGCAGATCTTTTGTAGGAGTGGCTAAGCTGGCCATTTTTGATGAGGATGGCTTCATGGAAGCCAGGGGGAGTGTGATTCAAGAGTAACTTCCTTTTGTCGGTTGGAAGAGTTGTGGCATTAAGGCCATGATCACATGTCAAACCAAACCCACTGTGGAAAGCCGACCACACCAAACCGGTGTTGACTTTTGGCTCAAGAAAACAGGTCCGACGCACAGGACATCATAACCACAGCTTCAATCCTACGCATATTCTAAGAACCTTGGCAAGACCATCAGTCTTGATGCACTGCACATCGCTATATATATATGGTTTGAATCACGACGAAATTGTGCCTGACATGCGATCCCACTTGACCTTTCTCAGTCTAGAGGCTGCTCTGCACAACGAGGAGTCATGACCATTGTAGACATAGCTCTTGGCGTGATTGATACTCTTGACTTTGACTCTTTGCTACCCGTCTTGACTTTTTCAAGACTTGAGACAACAAACCACGGCAGTTGGCAAGGAAGAGCGAGGGCTCAAACAAGCCATTGCTTGACAGTTCACAAGGACTCATGGAAGGCGGCAATATATGCATCAAATCACATTGTGCCAATGTAGGCAAAAGGCCTGGTGCAGTAGGCCCAGAACCTTCAAGCACTCAGCCTGAACAAGCAGCAAACAATGCAATCTTCCGTGCAAAAGCTGTTGTCAGTGCAATCCTTCTCATCTCTTCCTTCTAAAAAAGAAACAGCATAGTGGGCATAGTGTGACGCGGTAACTCAATCATTCTTGTCATTATTGTACCCCTCGCAACACATTCAGCCTCGCCGTCTTTGTTGTCTTCTTTCTGGCAGGCTGCCATACCCTGTCACCAGCTCTCACGTTTCTACAGTAAATGATTGAGATTGCTTTTTAGCGTGGAAACCTTCAGCCTTTCATCATATGTGTTTCCCTCCCAACACGAAACTTGCTCACTATCACCTGTGTGTAACAATGTGCATCAGGCTTCAGAATTTTACATCCTGTGAACTATCTCTCAACCAATCTACTCCCGTGAGCCGCACAAAGGCTGTTGCAAGCACTTTGGCTTGTAGGCTCACAGAACTTTGAGTGTCCAGGTTCAACGGGTCACAGTATTTGCGCAGGAAGACTATGTACAGAATTGTACAGAAGCTAAGCTGACTTCAGACTGTCCGCCTCGCTGAGCTGCCTTACTTGCCCAACTGATCTAGCTTCTTGCTCCTAGTAGTACGGCCAGGAGTCCCTAGTAGCGTCCTTGCTCCTAGTAGCGATGCCCTTGGTTCCTAGTAGCTTCTGGCCGTTCAAGATCGATGCAAGAGTCCTGCAATCCTACAGGAACACCCAGGGTCAGGGACGGGAACTCGATTGTTGCAGAGACTGGTTGGAAGCTCCGGCGTTCCCGACGGCTCTGGTGAATTCCGGTTCCGGGGCCAACTGCAGCTGCGGCTGTTTAATTGTCTGCTTCACAAAGCAACAAGCCACAAGAATGCTGGCAAGTTGCGTTTCCAACATTGTACCTGGTACAAAAGCTCGGTCCATGGCATGGGACACATCAGGCCACAATTGACCACTGGGGCCGTTGCCAAATTTTCGAAGTTTGGTCGCTTCTTCAAAATCTTTTGGGATTCCAAGCTTACCTGCAAATATGTGTCACCTCTAAATCAACCAAGGACACAAACCAAGCTGTGTGACATTCAAGTTTACAAGGCGCTTGCGTCAGTCATACCTTTTGAGGTGTGCCTTGTTCGAACACATCGGCAAGGTGAGCAAAGCCTTTCCTTGAACGGTCCATGGATGTCCCCGCTTTGAGATGTCAAGGGCACAAGAGATGCCAACAAATAGCAATGGCCTCCAACCTAATAGCGATGCCCTCCAACCTAACAGCAATTGCCTCCAACCAAGAAGCGATGGCCTCCAACCTACTAGTTACTAGCAATGGCCTCTAACCTCATAGCGATGGCCTAGAGATGCCAACAAATGCCAAGAGACGGGTTTTTGTTCAGTGCCGCCTTCCGAAAATACTCCACAGCTCCAGGATCTCCCCGCGACTGCAGCAACAGCCCAAATTCTAGCATGGCCTCATCTCATGGCAACAAAATGTTTGAAATCATAGTTGTCCGAGCAATATCAATGAATATCAATGACATCCAAGCATGAAAGAAGTTTGCGTGAGGAGGCTGAATCGTAGGCGCATAACGGCACTGTCTCCTCGTAAGGAAGCCAATAGCAATGCCTGGATTCTAAGACTGCCGCTCATGGCTTGTTTGCAAAGAAATTACCGTTCTTGTATGTCTTCTTGTGTCTCTATCCAGAAGCAAAAACACATGCTGCCAACACAAGATCAGTATTTCAAACCGATACAGTAGATTATCGTCTTTGGAAACCATCTGCCTTCCGTTGATGGTCAACAGGATGGTAACTTGGTGCTCCAATGAAATCGGAGAGATGCAACTCCTGCGCATTTCATAAACTGAGCAGTGCTACAGGTGTCTTTCCTGCACCGCTCATGTTGGCCTCCAGCAACTCTTCGCGAAGAGAAAACGATGACCTCCAAACCAACAAAAGCAACCCACAAAACGTCATGGACCACACATCAGGCACGAGGGGCATCAAGAGGCAAGCCGCCTGTCTGGAGTGTTGCCCGGCGTCTGGAAAGTGACCTAGACAGTTCAGCACCGAAGAAGATCTTACCTACTTATGTCAAAGCAAAACAGCTTACAACATACAAATAGCAAACACTCAGTCAGACAGCTTCAACGTTGTCAGGACTACTGCAGCTTGGCTAACCTGTCAGGCAGCTGCTCTTAAGCGTTGTGCTCTGATGTCCTTGCAAGTGAACAACATTTATTGCCAGGCTACGTAGAAAAGCCGGCGTCTGCCTCCACCCATGGGCTCCGACAAGTTTGCCCCGCCACAGTGCAGCAGGTTGGAGTTCATCACAAGGGCAGTGCCAGAGGATGACACTGCCGGCAAACCTATGGCGCAGTGGCAAGATGCGGAAACCCAAAAGTTGAAGGTACAGTTCATGCATCATTGGCCTTCACCGTCACCAAAGCAGCCAAGTATCAGCCATGCTTCTTCACAACCACATCTTGGGGCATCAACACTTGCTCACACTTGAATAGCGACACATGCGACTCGAGATTGTGGGTACCTTAGATTCCACGTTGCAAGAATCAAGCCGATAAAGGGACAAAATCCAGAATCACACACTGACATACTTGACAACAAGTCACCTTGGCATACAATTGTTGGCCCCATGCTGGCTCCAGTGTCTTGTAGTGGAACGAAAAGCGTCAATGAAGGTGCACAAGCACTGCCTCGAAGTAAGGACGACTGCTTCTGCTTGGCACTTGCCAGAGTCTTACAGGCCTATTCGAAGGGTGTCAGCATGCAGAGGCTGCTGCTTGGCGCCTGACCAAAGACTCAGCCAGGATTTGCACAAAGTGTGAAGGCCATTTGATCGGAGGAGGCCTGGGCCTGGCCTGGATCACTTACGATACAGGCAAGCTCTGCCAAGATTGCATCCCTTGAGACCAGGTCCTCTATGAGGCTGCCCATAGACTGAACCTCAACAAAGCGCTTTAATTCTGCCCGTTCTGAAGGCCATTGGAGCAATGATTTAAGGGTCCCCGGGGCCTACACGTGCCTATGCAAAACGCTGGTGCTTAAAGCATGTCTACACGACTCTTGGCGTGCACATGCGACGCAGCATTGCTGCTGAAATTCAGTGTGTTTTGCCTACGCTGCCGTTTGGTTTCACTCTTCTGTGGGCACAAACTGTTCATTAAGCAAATAGTCAGAAGATGTACTCGATTTGGAACCACTAGCACTTCTGGATGAACAGCAACGTACCTTAGGTCCTGCATTTATGTATGACATGATTGTGTATGTGCTGTCTGCTACCCCTTGCAGGCCATTGTCTTACTGACATGCCAGCAAGACGCCTGATCATGCCTGATCCTAGAAATACAGTTCCTGTGCAAAACAAGACATCGAAGCAAAACATCCACGGGTTAACCTTCGCATACAGTACTGTAAATTATGTTAACCTTAAAAGACCGCATACTGTGGTTAAACCCATCTGAATTTGAATGTGTTGAACATGTGTTAAACCATTAACGGCCTATCTATGCAAAACTGCAGCCCAGTGACCATTACTTCCACAGCATTTCGAACTTGAGAGTTCATCGGCAGCTTCAAGTCCCAGCGGAGCTCTTCACCGTGAACCTCAATACTGCGCTGTCCAAGGTCCCCAGTAAAACCAACCATCTTCAATTGAGCCCTGCACTGAACCCAGGTCCTAAGTTGTAAGCAAGTCTCTTGAAATTTTAGAGTTTCCAAGGCTCTGAATTCCCAATGTCTTGGGCCGAGCGTCTGAAAGCCTCAGCTCTTTGCGCGCTGCTTCGTTTGGTTCTCTATCAAGCCTTTCGAGCACTTCGTTGAGCAAGCCGTCCACAATGCCCTTGGACAAAAATTGAACTTGCCCACTCTCTGTGCTCAAGTCATGCAGTCTCACCAGTCCTCTGCTCAACTATTCAGCTATCTTGAGTGGGTCCAGTCTAGTTTGGTCGGCTCCAAACAGCATGTCGACCGTCTAGCAGAAGTGTTGGTTCTACATCTTGAACACAAAATCCCCTTTTGGACTGAGTTGATTCCTGAATCCTCCGGCATTGAGAACAGCTGGAAAGGTGCAAAGTCCTTTCGGCGCCTGTAACAACCACACTGCGAATATTGTGTTCAACAATACAATGCAATCCCTCAAATGGACTTGTGGGGCTGTTGGGCACTGTTTTTGGGATACCAACATCCAATGCACAAGTTACCTGTCTAAGGCAAAATTTTAGCCGCAAACCCTTGGGGCAAGTCTCGGCCATCTCGTCACAAAGAGGGCTCGGAAGCACATTGGGCACCATGCAGCATCCTGGACTGATTGGAGCTATGTGAAGCTTGTGGAATACTCAAAATGCCTCTTTTGGAATCTCCTAAACTGTAATTATACTATATATATATAGACGGACTCAACTTTGCCTTGAACTTCCATGTGGGAAGTGCAAGCACACGTGCTGATTCGCAACTCCTGGTGCAAGGAGTGAACCAAACATGTTTTGATGATTGAATTTGCAAAGACTACTTATTCTAATGATGGTAAATGTATGTGCATGTGCGGCAGACTGGTCCTCCGGATAAAAATGTCCGATCTGCGGAGCCTGAATATTGTGTGAGATTTGCTGGACAGACGCGGCCAAGGCGGTCAAGGCTATGGTGTTTTTTGCCTTGTCCTTTTCTCGTAAAATTGCTCGGCTCGTCCATGTTCATTCTCTTACAAAATTTAAGGCAGCTACGTCGGACTGTACTCCAAAGCGCCCGATAGCGATGGAGCCGCTCCTGACCTTCACTTGGAGCGGAACATGCTGCAGCGCAAGCTGCACTAGGCAGCTGGTTGGCGACAAGGCCTCGATGTCCGGACCACGCCCGCCGCTTCCTTTGCCTTTGCCTTCCTGATGTGTAAAGCCTGGAACTTCAAGGTTTGATCTGAACTACTAACATCTATAAACAATATTTCAGTGGTTAACGGAAGATGTCCTGTCCCGCTTTCGCAAGTAACTCGTCCACACCTGTCAAAACTGCAACCCTGCACTCGTGTTCAATGTTGTTCTGTCAGGCAGGCAGGTGGTGCAGGCTTTTTGTCAATAGGACACTTGCAGGTGTTGATGCCGGACGCAACTCTCTTTCTGAATCTCTGTTTTTGTCAAAATGGTTGTGGATCCATTTGGATTTGAGCCTCTGAGCTCCTTGCAAATGCAGAGACATGGAGCAGCCGGCTAGTGCGTTTTTAAAACAATTATCTGGTCTGGACATAGGCGCAGCCAGCGGGTTCTCTAGCTGTAAGAGAACACGCGGTTCGTCCAACTCTGGTAGCAACCAAGCCAAGATCACACAAGACACCCAAGCCACCAACTCAAGCGGAGATGTCAGAGTAACACACACAAAGCAACTTGTCAACGACATCAGCTCTTCCGACATCAGTCTTCGTCGCAGGATCCCAGCCTGGGCTGCCTGACATTGTTTGCTGAGGCCTCGCAAAGTCATCTTGAGGGAGCAGCCTTGCCAATCCAAAGGCAAGCCCAAATATTGGCACCGACATAGTTCAAAGCTCTGCCAGCATCGTGGAACAGAGCCACAAACATGCGCAAGAGCTATCCGGCGGCGGGTATTGCAAAGTTGTGGAAGCAGAGGAACACCATAAGCGGAGCCCTAAAGCCACACTTTTCAGGGTTCCCTTGCGCGCAGTTTGATGCCACGGCGGGCCTTGCCGGAGATTGACCGAAACTGCATTGCGCGCTTGCGCGTACCACGGCAGAAGCGAGCAAAACCTTGCGACTGGCTGGGCTCCAACCAAGTGAGTCGGGCGCCCTCGTGAGCAGCACCAACACTCCATCATGCTGCTGACTCAAACGCCTCAGCCTGCAAAGGGCTTAGCCACCACGTCGGAACCGTGACCACGCTTCTTTGCAGCTGACTTACTTCCAGGAGCTTAGAACTTGACGTCTTCGGGTTTGCCGGCATCGCCAAGCGCTACCCAGACTCTTTCCTCGTTGGCAGCTAATCCAGCACCGCTGGCGCTCAGAACATGGGCATCCATGTGGAGGCGCTCGGCCCTGACTTTGGACTGCAGCCCGCAGGCATCTTTCAGCAGCCAGGCCTTCAGGACCGACCTGTTGCGTCCACTGTTGCGCTGCCACCCAAAAGAAAGAAACAGAGAATGGCTTCGCTCCCCTGCCAGAAAAACAAACCGCGCACCATGCGCGCCCAGCGTCTAAATCCCTTTTGAAAGGCCCCGCCGAGTAACGGTCTGCGATCTCCTCTGGAAGCTGCGGGGTCACAAATTCAGCCTTCAAGACAGACAAAGCCGAGAGGTCTTCACGCGCGGACCATCTGCGACGTGGCAGCAGATTCCACTCTTGCTACATGCCAGGGATGCTACACGTAGGAACACCCCTGCTCTGGCTAGTCTAGTTCCAACTAAAAACGGTCAATGCGCATAATGGGGATTCAGGGATCAGGGATGACGTGAAACTGTTGCGTCTACAAAAGCCAGCCAAGCTCCTCCTTTGGAGGATAGAGCTACCCCAAGCAGTTCTTGGAATTGGGTCTGATGATCCCTCTGTCTAAGAACAAGTTCCATAGTGCGTTCGGTGTCTGGAATCTGGTGTGCTGAGTCTGAAATATACTTGGCGAAAAGGGACCGCTGATACTCGCTTTGATTCCCCAGCTGCGTCGGACCATGACCGCCTGCCGTCTGCAAGCATTGGGGCACGTCCGTGCTGAGGTTGGGGAAGAAGAACTGGCAATGGTTCGTGCCTGGATGTAAGAAGGCTGTATGAGGATCTACCCAACTGGCTGCCAGACACAGTGACTGCAATTTTTGATGCCACCCGCTGGAAGACTGTTTGGAGACCAACATTTGCCTCAAGACAGCTTGGTACCGTTCGGCTTTTTTCCTGCACTGATGCGCGTAGATCTTTCGCCCAGGAAACAATGTTTACTAAGGCCCCTAAGACAACCATGGCCCAGGCGTGGTCTGCATCCTGGAGCTGTCTGTCGGAAAGCAAAGAGGCTCCGACACGACAGCAGGGCGTTGAAGGAGTTGTGCTGAACCCGGTCTGGAGGAGCTGTGGCTGCGAACCCCGCTCTGAGTCTCGGATCCACTAACCGGAGCTCCTTTCTTCTCTCACTGCAAATGGGCCAGGTCAAGGACCGGTTTACCATATCACCCGTCCTCAGGATGTCGTTGCTGTAGGGCAACTCAACCAAAAGAATGAAGGGCCGTTCTGTCAACCGAGGTTGCCACAAAGAAGGGGATGGAGTTGCGCTGCCTCCATGGAGGCAACCTGGAAGGCTATGAGGAACTGCTGGCTTCAACCCCAAGCGGTGGCAGCCAAAAAGAAGGCCATGGATTCCCAGCCACCTAACGCTTCCGCCCCTTCTCCATGCCAATTGCTGCAACAAGTGTTGGCAGAAGGCATCAGTTTGTTCAGGAGCAGAAGACACTTCAAAATTGATGGCTAACTCCAAATCTAGAGGCTAGCGCTAGCTGCGGAAAAAGTTGGAAAATGATGAGGCGCAGGCTGCGGCTCGTCGAAGCTTCGTGCCACCGGTCAGCGCTTCTATGTTCTTGTCGTTGTTGTTGACGGCGCTGTCGCACCTTTCAGCGCTTTTGACAAGTCACTCAAGGAGCCAATGGCTTGATGACCAGAAAGTTCCGATTCTTCCTCATCCCACAAAGTGAACTTTCCACTTACAGAGTCTGCTGCAGACAACCACAGAGGCAAAACTTCTTTGGTGGTGAGGTCCACATAGGAGAACGCCACTTGGCCATGCGCATTTGCTTCCCCTGAAGCGAGGTGCGAAGTGGTGTTGCCGGGGTTGGACTGCTTGCGCGTGGGGGCCTAGGTTGGACAAGCCAGATTTCTGCGGAAGATCTGCCACATCGGGCATCTTGGTGGGTGCCAAGGCTGCAGCTAAAGTCTTTGCGGACATTGGTGCGGCTGCCATAGCAGACGTCGTGGCTGCTTGCGCCAACCTTGCCTTGTCCAAAGCCTCAACACTACGGACCAATTATCGACCTACCAATGCTGCAGCAGGCACTATATCTGTCAGCTTGAGCTTTTCCAAGTCGGCTTCAGTCACGCCCATGGCGCTACTGGGGCCCTTCAATTTGGTATTATCTGTGAGGAACTGTGCAGCTGCTTTGATAATATCATCCGGCGGCTTCACCGACTCAACAGCAGAGATCAAGTCAGTCCATGAAGTTGCCATAGCTCGGACAACCACAAATAGCCCAAAGGACCTATATATTTAAATGAGAAAACCTGACAGGGCAATTGGGCCTCAGGCTGCCATCATTAACAAGTCGACTTGTGCATTTCAACAAAGCGTCGCTTTGTTTTTGTCACACAATGATTTGAGGTATCATCCCCCTAAAAGCGATTCAGGAGTTCTTCCGTCGACGGTCAGTAGTATCCACTTCATTCAAGGATGTCAATTGCCAGTGATGGTCTTCAAAAATTGTGCATCTTGCATCCAAGCAACTTGCGATTCCGCTTGGCTTTCCCTTTGGAGCAGTGCCGCTCTTGCACTTACCTTTGCCCTTGCCCTTCTTTTCAAATCCTGGAGCACAGTACCCTCACGCGTTAGTCATTTTCTCGTGATATCTCGTCAGCTACTGTGGTTCAACTCCTTGAGCAGCTTGAGTTCTAGTGATTGGCATGTTCTCTACCTTTCTCTGGCCTCATGATACAACTTCCGGGCAAATCTGCAGGTTCAGCGTTGAATGCTTAAATCCGAGGTGTTCTACGAGTCGCACCAGCTGGAAATGAAACTGCAACATCTTCCAAAAACAGCGAAATGCATCCTCACCATCCTGTCCTGGAGGAGCGGGCAAGTCGGATAATTTGCTGGGGTCTTGTATCAAGGTCCACCTGCACGATCAAACCCCAAGGCTAGCGCTGCTTGCAGTCTTAATTGATCAATCTCTGTCTGTTCACTGTCATGCAACAGAGTGGCGGCGCGATTGGTTTCCCAGAAGTGATGCCTGCGAAACCTGAACACTGCAGCGGGTGTATCTCACTACATAAAAATATTAAAGAAACCAAACAAGAAGACATCCGACGCCGCTTGTTGCGATCTTTCTTGCCAAACTACGTGAGGGAATGAGAATGTCACAGGCTCCCTGTGGCAGCGCCAGAAACTCCAGGCCCAGCTCCGGACCCTGCGGCATCCACGTTGCATACGCGGCACACAAGCATCTGCTGGGTGCAAGCTCTTATCGACCATGGTGGCATGATGTGGCATGTACTAGTACGCTGCAGTGGTGCATTGTCAGTTTGGCCAGGAACATGTGACTCGCAGCTGTGGTGTCAAACCTGTGGCCTGCCAAGCCATGTGCACCATATGCCGTTTGCGGAAGAGGCAGCTTACTAATCTGCCCAACCTGAACAAAGGATTTGGCACACTATGATACACTACGCATTATCACTGCAAGGCAAACTATGAAAAGACAGTTGTATTACATCACTGCGATTCATCAAATGAATCAACCTGCTGCCAAGTATCACGGAGCCTTCGATGGCATCTGTCATCACAGCGAAAAGCGACGGGAACGCCAGGCTGGGCACATGGGAAGGGCGTCAGAAGGAATCTGCGTGTTCACACCAACAGTCTCAAAATTTCACATGCAGCTATTCCATTTCACTTGCTGTGAGATCTTTTCAGTATTGAAAGTATTGTCTTCCTACTTGCTTAGTCGACCTGACCTTAGTCGTAGATGTTTGGAGTCTACTGAGCTACTCTGTTGTGATGAAAACGGTTTCTGCACTCCGCAATCTGATTAGTTGGACTAGGTTGCTTTCCACTCCAATTATCGAGGATGCCTACTTGGAAGATGTTGATGAGACACCCGGCAGAGCGCAGGACGATTCATGTATGGTCCCATCAGGCTGTGTGTCTAAGCTGGGACCGTGTAGCATGTCTTGCAGCTATCTCCATGGATCACAATTGAGGCCTTTCAAATCCTTTCAGGCCTGCGACCTTGCTGTGACCATGGCAATGACCATGGCACTATGATGCAATATGTAATTACCACAGCAGCATTGGTAGCTTGACCTCCTCCACCATTCCAACCGCGTCTTCCACTTGGCCTGCAAATGAGTGGCAAAGTGATTGATAGTGAATTGTGAACATTGTAATAATCAGCCAAACGCTCAACCCGATTTTGCACTCCTTTCATTGCCACAATCTCCGCCAACCGCCTGAGTTTGTCAAAGTCAATGGATATTTGTCTTCCACTACCAAATAAGCTCAAGCAAGGCCAGGGCGGCAAAGGTGTGCATATCAACCAAAGAACAAAACCAGTTGTGGCCAGAAAGTCATGTCTTTGTACATCCGTATATTGGATCTCCCAATTTAATGTCTCCATTCCAAGTGCCCCACAGCATCGCCTCGACCAGCAAAATCGCTGCACAGAATTCACATTACGGAGGCCCTGTTCCCACCTTGACTTCTTCTTTCCGATCACCTTCGTGTTGCCAAAGACCTTGAGCCTATCGTGCAACTGTGGACACAACACTGTATCAAAAGGTCTACAAAACTGCAGGAACGGAAACTGCCAAATGGCCAACTGTGGAAAGTATCATATCGGGGAAGCGGAAAGAAGGCAAATTGACCACTGCTGACAAAGATTTCGGACCTAGCTGGTGTCTCTCATATGACATGCATGTCCAAGGCATTGCTGTTCATGATTCATGATAGTCTTCGGTACTGTTTTATTGATTGGTACGATTTGCTTACAACTATTTGTCTGTGCACAATGGCACACACAACACACACAAAAGGGGCCGTCTGCCATTGACAAGCAAGCAACGAAGCCAGCCAGCCAGCACAGACAGACAGACAAACAGACAGACACAGACAGAGACAGACAGAGACAGACAGAGACAGACAGAGACAGACAGAGACAGACAGA